GAGCTTTCTGTATTATTGTTACTTAAAAAAACATTAAATTTTGTAAAAGTAAAACTATATCATTCCCCCTCTTCCCTTTCTTCCCTCTTAAATTCATGGCCTCTTTTTTGTTACATACATACAGAGAGACACATAAATATATAAATACAACTACTGAGTTAATTTAATTTAGTATTGCTTATGTTTGCGATTTCCCATTTAGTATTGGATAACCAACTAGAGGGCTCATCCCTAGTAAAGACCATCTCTCCTGCTCTCAGCATTCCTTAGTTGCCTGTAGGACTCCAAGAGAGATTTCCCTGTTTTTTTGTTTGTTTGTTTGTTTCTCAAGACAGGGTTTCTCTGTAGTTTTAGAGCCTGTCCTGGATCTCACGCTGTAGACCACGCTAGCCTCAAACTCACAGAGACCTGCCTATCTCTGCCTCCCCAGTGCTGGGATTAAAGGTATGTGCCACTGCCGCCCCACAAGATTTTCCTCTTACATGTTAACGTGTCTACTGGTGTCCTTGTTCAAGTTGTGTTTAGGCAGCCATGTTGAGACATCAATGGGTGAAGTGTTCCTGACATTTCAAGGAGACACAATCCAACAGCCAATTTCCTGGTCACCTAGCTTTTCCATAGTTTTTCCATCCCCTCTTTTGCAAAGTTCTGTGAACCTAGATGCAGGAGTTATGTAATAGATGTGCTCATTGGACCTGGGCACCTCACCAACTGTTGCTCTCTTCAGCTGTGGTTTTCTGTAATGGTCTCAGATGAAAGCAAAGAGAAGTTTCCTTGAGGAAGGGTGAGCATGGGTAGAGGACTAAGTATTAAGAATGCAGTTGAGAACTATGTTGGCTTAGAAATGGTGGTAGCAGGCTAAGATCTGTGCCTCACTATTACACTCATAGGGATATCCTGCTGTGCTGTTATTATTGTGGTTCAAAAGCATCACGGCAGGCGGTGGTTAAAGAAGGTGTGGAACATATACACTTCAGAGTTTTACTCAGCGGTAAAAAGCAATGGCATCTTGAATTTTGCATGCAAATGGATAGAAATAGAAAACGCTTTACTGAGTGAGATAATCCAGACCCAAAAAGATGAATATGGTATGTACTCACTCATAAGTGGATTCTGGCCATAAATTAAGGACATGGAGCCTATAATTTGTGATCCTAGAGAAGCTAAATAAGAAGGTGAACCCAAAGAAAATCATAAAGTTATCCTCCTGGATATTGGAAGTAGACAAGATTGCCAGGCAAAAGTTGGGTGCACGGGGGTGAGGTGGGATGGGTGTAAGGGGAGATGGGGAGAAAGAAGGGAGAAGGGGAGGATTGGGGAGAGCTTGGGGGAATGGGATGGTTAGGATGGAGGAAGGGTGGATATGGGAGCAGGGAAGTAGATATCTTAATTAAGGGAACCATTTTAGGGTTGGCAAGAGACTTGACTCTAGAGGGCTTCCCAGGTCCAAGGAGATGTCCCCAGCTTGTTCCTTGGGCAGCAGAGGAGAGGGTGCCTGAACTGGCCTTGTCCCATAGCCACACTGATGAATATCTTGCATATCACCATAGAACCTTCATCTGGCGATGGATGGAGATAGAAACAGAGACCCACATTGAAGCACTGGACTGAGCTCCCAAGGTCCAAATGAGGAGCAGAAGGAGGGAGAACATGAGCAAGGAAGTCAGGACCACGAGGGGTGCGTCCACCACTGAGATGGTGAGACTGATCTAATGGGAGCTCACCAAGGCCAGCTGGACTGTGACTGATGGAGCGTGTGATAAAACCGAACTCTCTGAATGTGGTTGTCAATGAGGGCTGTCTGAGAAGTCAAGGACAATGGCACTTGGTTTTGATTCTACTGCATGGACTGGCTTTGTGGGAGCCTGGTTTGTTTGGATGCTCACCTTCCTAGACCTGGATGGAGGGAGGAGGACCTTAGACTTCCCACGGGGCAGAAAACCCTGACTGCTCTTAGGACTGGAGAGGGAGGGGGAGGGGGAGTAGGAGGAGTGGGAGAAAAATGGGAGGTGGGGAGGAGGTGGAAATTTTTAATAAATAAATAAAAAACCCAAAAAAAAATAGAGAGAGGTAGGTAGGGAAAACTGAACTGAATGCTGGGAGAAAGAAGGTGGAATGAGAGGCCATGGAGCCACCAAACACAGACATGCTGAAATTTTGCCCCATAAGCCACAGCCTCATGGCAATATATACGGATTAAAGGAGATGGGTTAATTTAAGATATGAGTTAGCCAGAAATATGCTTAAGCTATTGGCCAAACAGTATTGCAAACAATACAGTTTCTGTGCGGTTATTTCGGGGCTGAGGAGCCAGAAACAAACAAGTGGCCTCTTACTACATATGTATATGCACATACATGCACTTATACAGATTTTATGTAATTTTAGTTAAATAATAGTGTGACCCTATGGCTTTCCCAAATATCTTTACTATTTATTCCCTACCTCATTTTTCCTATCTCCATATGTTCTCTCTCATCTATGTGAGACTATAACCTGGAGCACCCAAGGCACCAGGAAAGTAAAAAGATATCATGGGGCACAGGAGCGGTAGAGGTGAATAGCAGGATACATGTGATATCATTACTTTAAAAAGTTATTTTATTCCATTGTATAACATACAAGCAAAAGACCAGTAAGACAAAAATACCCAAATAAAGCATTGCTACAAAGAAATCCCACTGAGTTTGTTTTGAGTTGTTCATCAATGCTGGTTATGGGGCCTACCCTTTTGTGTGGTTAATATACCCAAAGAAACTCTACAAGAGAAAATAATCTTTCCTTTACAATCCTGTATCAGTCCTGCTGTGTCACCCATCTCCTTACAATCCCTTATAATTTCCTCTTATAAGTCTTCTTCCTCCTCTTCCATATAACTTCCTGAACCCTGAAGGGAAGGGTTTGGTGAAGACACCCATTTACTATTTATTGTTTCAAAATCTCTCACTCTCTTTACATTGTCCTGTTGTGGGTTTCCATGTTAGTCCCCATCTAATGCAAGAGGAAGCTTCTCTGATGATAAAGCTATTTTCCCCCCTCTTTGAGATAGGGTTTTACTATGCAGCCCCAGCTGGAATCAAACTTTAGATGTTTCTGCCTCCACCTTCCTAGTATGTATTATAAAGGTGTGTATCACCAGACCTGGATAAACAGCGGAAAAACATTTTGATACTCTGTTTTTCAGTTTGTTGTAGCTCAGGCTGGCCTGAAACTCCCTTTGTATCTGAGGATAGTCTTCAACTTCTGATCTTCCTGCTTTTATTCCCAAATGTTAGGTTACAGGTATACACTCCAATGCTTGGGGATCAAAACCAGGGCTTCATACAAGTCCTCTACCAATTGTGTTGTAGCTCTAAGCCTTTGACTGCTGGTTTCTAGACTGGCAGAGCAGAACAGTACCTTCACATTTCCAGGGACATTTCCTTCATGTGTCTGCTAACGGGTGTCAACCCTTTCGGAACATAGACATCTAGACCCACACACTCTAGCAATTGGATGAACAAATGCAACTGAGTCCCGCACTGGAAGATATGAATAGAGTGAGTCCTGTACTTCTGTATCCTGAACCCCGCAGTTCACTTAATGATGACTCCAAATTTTATGTTGCTTGCAAAGGTGTATGGTGCCCTCTCCATGCACAATAGTTTCTTCATGGTGGTATTGACGAAGCCTTCACAAAGTCCTATTATTACTCTTTTATAAAGCAGGAGTGTTCTAACTTTTTGACATATCTTTTTGGTCAAAAGTGAGACCCCAGTCCTCCAACACCCCTATATCCAGAGGCTGAAATGTAATATTGAGGCCCCAGTCCTCTAACACCCCTATATCCAGAGGCTGGAATGTAATATTGAGTTGGAAATGTCACTCCCAGCCTGCCAAGAGCTGACCACTCCCACTAGGGATTTAGGGTTGGGCCAGAAAAAGGAACATGTGGTTTTGGGTTTGCACGTGTGCTTTTCCTCGCCATGCTCCCCCGACCACCCAGGACTGTGCCATCTACTAAACATGGGCATTTAATTTGGTTTGATCTGGTCTGATTGGAGTTTTTTTGTGTCAGTGGAACGGCTCGTCTTAAGATTTTTCCTAACAGTTTCAATTATGATGTCATCTACACACGTGTTGGGCCACATTCATAGCTATTTACTGGCACATAGATACATAGACTCCCTCTTTTCCCTCCAAAGGGTCTCTGAGCAGAGGTCCAGGAAGAGGTGGAGATAAAGGAATAAAGGGCATGGCTGGCATGGAGGGCTTGAAGCTTTAGATTCACCTATAGTCAAGCTTGAAAAAGGACAGAGAGGAGTTTAGCTAAAAGTCAGTTCCTGATCTATAAACCCCCAATGTATTCTTTTAGCTTTGTGGTAAAGTAGGACCCAACCTAAACTATAGCACAGGGGTTCAATATTGGCACACCAAGTTTTTATGAGCCCTATCATTGTCTCTGGAACATGCTTCACAGGCAGAAGAGAAAATGTCATGGAACATGTGTTGTGTCTAGGCTAAGGTACTCTGCTGACCCTTTCTAGGTGGGAAGTGTCTGGCATCATCAGCTTCCACAAATGGATGTTTTCTCTAGAAATGGTGCTACGGCAGAGCACAGCATCAATCCCTGCTTTGGACAGGACAATGGAGGTGTGCCCAGTATACAGTGATCATGACAGACCAGTTCATGCTGTTGCCAGTGCTTCTTCGTGGTGCATTCTCTCTCAAGCACCAATATATTCTAAGATACTTACATGTTTGCATGTTTCGGTTACTCTCCTATGTGTTTTCTTTTCTTTTGAGAGGCTCTCATGTAACAACAGAGACTGATTTTGAACTGTTGGCCCTCTTGTCCACACATCCCTAGTGCTAGAATTACAGGCACATGCTGTCACGCGCCCTTGGTTCTGTAGCACTTTTCATGTCTAATATTTACATAAGGCTAGTTTATTTTTTATTCCCAATGTGTATATGCCAACCAGTTAAAAAAAATCAAATTTCTATAAAGTCACACAAAATTATCATTAGCTTTAAGGTTTTATTGAATTCCAACATCAGAAATGAAGTTGTTACTGTTTCTAGCTAGCATTCTCACTTGCCTCACATGATTGCTGCAGATAACTTTTAACTCATACTCTGATTTTTCTGTGACATATCGATCTTTTTTTTTAATATTTATTTATTTATTATGTATACAATATTTTGTCTGTGTGTCTGTCTGCAGGCCAGAAGAGGGCATCAGATATCAGTTCAGATGGTTGTGAGCCACCATGTGGTTGCTGGGAATTGAACTCAGGACCCTTGGAAGAGCAGGCAATGCTCTTAACCTCTGAGCCATCTCTCCAGCCCCCGACATATCAATCTTATATATGTTAAAATCTTGGTTATTTCCCCAATTTCCTTTTCTCAATGTCAAGAGTTAAAAGTCCAAATACTGAAAATTTAGGACATTAGTATTGAGGATATCATAACATAGAAAAAAAAATTATACAATCTTAAACTGCTTAAAAGTCTCCTTAACTTTTCCTATAGTGATAAACTGAATTTTCACCATAGAAATTTCTATTAAAATGTTCAAGCATGTCCTACTGAAACATATCTGAAGTTCAAAATGTTTTTTCTTAAATTAATTTGTACTGAACTATTTAAAAAAGAATCGTGGCACTTTAGTAAGACAGTTATTTTACTGCATATCTTAACTACCTCACGTGTAACCTGATCAATAGCAGATTACTAGAGAGAATAAAAAGTGTGGTTTAAGGTGTGAGTCGTTTGGGGTCACGAGGGAACATCGATGTCTGACGTACATTATGCAATCCTAAGAACAGCATCGTCACTCTTTCCAACCCTGTGAATAAGAAAATGACAGTTAATCCTTTTTGAAAACCTCTCATTTACTAGTTATACTTTTTTTTTGTGGAACATATTATTTTATTTTATAAAGCATCTCTCATTAAAAAAAGAGAAAAAACCCCATAAAATTCTATACTTCGTAAATATTCTTTTCCTTCCTCCATGGATATAGGCATTCACCAATCTATTCTCTGCTTCTGAACTTGACTACTCTAAAATACCAGCAGAGTAGAATCATACAGAATTAGTCCTTTTGCTAATTTATTCATTTATTTATCATTCATTCGTATATCATCTCCACAGTTCATCTATACTTCAGAACACAAGAAAATTTCTTTCTTTCTTTTTCTTTTTCAACTGTGTAACAAACAGCCTTGGCTGCCCCTGGAGCTTTCTCTCTCTCTCTCTCTCTCTCTCTCTCTCTCTCTGTAGACCAGGTGACCTTAAACTCAGATACTCACCTCCCTCTACCTCCTAAGTGATGGGACTGAAGGTGTTTACACCACACCCTGCAAAATTTCTCTTTTTAACACTGATTGGCCATATAGGTCAAAGACCTTATTCCAGAAATTCAGATGTTCTAAAATCTAAATATTTGGAAGCATCAAAGCAGCACTCAAGGATCTCAATGGTAAAGTCTATGAAATTAATTCTAAAAGCCAAGAAAATACAAGTCTGGTCCTGATCATGTCACAGGGGATCCTTAACCAACACCACATTCTGCTGGTCCATTTACCCATAATGGACGCCCAGCTGCATCCATGTCTCAGCCACTATAAAGATGTATGTATGCATAAATACTTCTTTGGTGTGTCATTTTCAATTCTTTCAGGCACACACACAAAATTGGACTGACAAATCACATGGTAAGTCTTTCTTTAGGGTATATACACAGAAGTGGACTATTGGTTTCTATGATAAATGAGTCTCTATTTTTGAAGAACTATAGTCCTGTTTTCTGCAGCAGGCAAACTGATCTTCCACTCATCCTAGTGATAATTATTGTATGTTAAGATGGCAGCCATCCTAGCTGTGTGATGCTACCGCTCATGTGCTCACCAACCATCTGCATCCTCTTTTGGAGAAATTTCTATTTAGGTCCTTTGTCCATTTTGAACAAGAATTTTATTTATTCTGGATATTACTCTCTTATCACATATATAACCTGTAAATATTTGTTGTCGCTATGTGGGCTGTCGTTTTACAGTCTTGCTCTTTTTTTTTAAACATGTCTGTGTGTGCACGTGTCTTCAGGAGCCTGCAGGGTCATTAGATTTGGAGCTGAAGTTTCAGGTGACTGTGAGCCCCTGATGTGGGTACTAGGAACTCAACCTCCAGTAGTCTGAAAGAGTAGCAAGTTTTACTTTACTTTACTCAACTTTAGCCATCTCCTCAGTCCCCCTTTACTTTCTTTCCCCAATTGTCCCCTGCTTCCAAAGTTGGTGCTAGGGATCAAATGCAGGGACTGTGCAGACAAGGCGAGCACTGAGTTATATACTTTAATTGTCAAACCCAGCCTTGTACACGCTGTGCAATTAAGTATTCTTTTTATGCACAAAGTTTAATATTTTTCCCTAGGCTAAATTTTGCTATTAATCACCTTGCTATGTGTGCCATAGGTACTATATCTAAGAAAACATGCCAAGGGCTGGAGAGATGGCTCAGTGGTTAAGAGCACTGCTTGACCTCTGAAGGTCCTGAGTCAGTTCCCAGCAACCACATGGTGGTTCACAACCATCTGTAATGAGATCTGGTGCCCTCTTCTGGTCTGCATGCATACATGCAGACAGAATACTGAGAATACTGTATACATAATGATAATTTAAAAAAAAGAAAAGAAAACATGGCAAAATCCAATATCCTGATGCTTTTGCTCTGTTTTCTTCTAAGAGTTTTCTAGCGTTAGACCTTTCATTTAGGTTTTTGATTCATTTTGGATTACTGCTTTTATCTGAAGTTAGGTAAGGGCTTAACTTTATTCTTTGACATGTAAATATCAATTTTCAAATCACTGGGGAAAAATACCATTCTATGACCTTTAAAAATTATTTTTATTTACATATATGTATGTGAGTACATGTGAGTTTACGTGCCCTACTATGTGTGCAGGAGCCTGCTGAGGCCAAAAGAAGAAATCAGGTCCCCTTAAACTGAAATTTTAAATGGTTGTGAGCTGCTATATGGGTGTTGTGAACTGAACTCAGGTCCTCTGCAAGAGCAGCAAGTTCTCTTAATCTCTGAGCTGTCTTTCTAGTCCTCTTCTATAGCCTTTAAACTTGTTCTTCACTTGCGTTTACAGAATTATTTATAAGTAATAGCAGTATTACCAATGCCTCCACCAGCATGAGGAGGGGCTCCAAATCTGAAGGAATCAATGTAAGCTTTGATTTTCTCCAAATCTATAAAAAGAAAACAGAATTTATCATTTTATTATAAAGAGATATTACTACAATGAAGATTTGGGGGAAAATGACTCATGAGACATCTTTAAGATGTTTACAATGCATTATTTTCATAATTCACATAGTTCTAGATATTTTAAATTACTTACCAATTCCATGGTGCAAAGCTCTCTCTGTTAGCAACTGAGGATCATGTATTCTTTGTGCTCCAGACAGTATTTCTTCTCCTCTCATGAACATATCATAAGAGTTGGAGTGTTTCTGCAGAAGAAAAATGAATGAACCTCCATCATTCTCCAAGTCCTATGTTATCACACTTTCCCATGATAAAAATCCATGCTGTCTTTCCCTAGTTAATGAAAGACTATCCTTCAACACAAGATCCTCTATGGAAGAACTGCTAAGGGCAGTTTTTGTTCTCTGTTTAGGTTTCCATTTTCTCTTTACCACACCTCCTACTAACCAAAACACCACATCTAAAGCAGTGGTGCTGCTTTTTATTTTACTTTAGGCCTAAAAAGTTTTAAAATATGACATAAATTTTGGTCAATTGTGAATGTAAATCACCAGTAAGTAAGTACTCTATTTTAGAGAACTTTTAAGGAAAGTTAAACTAAAACTGAATTAACCTATGCTTAACTTGTGGACTATCAGGCATTTGACACTATCAGTTTTAACTTTCACATAAACAATGGCTCCGATTCCCAGATCACTTCAGCATTACCTGTAATTTGTTATAAGCGCTGACCTCTAAGCCTGCCCCAATCAAAGATTAGGAACTCTAAGAGTAGGGTTCAGTATTTGTGTTTCAAAACCCCTCCAGTCTGGTGCCGGTAGTGTACACCTGGGAAGCCGAGGCAGGCAGACACCTGAGTTCCAAGCCGGCTTAGGCTACCCTGCAGATTCCAGGTCAATCAGAGATACACATAAGACTTTATATTGGGGGAAAAAAGAGAAAACAAACAAAACAAAACAAACCCCAAGTTCTCTAGAGGGTTCATGTATTCTAAGGGTTGGGAACTACTAAGAAACAAAAATCCATAAGATCATCTGGATTACTAAATATAAAATAAGCTTTGATTTTCTTCAAATCTATCAAATGAAAACATAACTTACTACCTTAGTGTAAAAATTAGAAAGGTGAATTCCCAGTTCAAAGTCAACAGAGATCCTCCCTAAACTCTGAGTATCTAGTGCTACATGTAGCATCTACAGTACCAATAAATCTTTAGGAAAATTGACCTCGTAATAGGATTTAATTTAATTTAGGTTCTCAGGACTAATTTGCTATAGCACTCAAATATGGTTATTAGAAAGTTCTTTCTTCCCCACAAATAGGTGATTTGAGATTAAATTACTCACAGGATTTCTTGGGTCAGGCATGGTATAGAAAGGTCTTACAGCCAATGGATATTTATCAAGAACATAAAAGTCTGTATCATACTATTAAAAGAAAGAAACTGTGTTAAGTATATACAATATTTTATGGAAAATTTAAGTATTATTATATTAATATAAAACCCCCTGAATTATTTCCCTAATAACACAGCTTTTTGTTTAAATATCCAAATAAAATTGGGTAATGGTCTTCAAATGGAAACCACTGAAATAAATACCGTTACAGTGTTTGACATTTTCTTACTACCTCACAAGCTTAGGTAAAAAGAAATTACACTCCAACTTTCATTTGATTACATTCCCCTTTGTTAAAACTGATGGGAGAGAATGGCAGCAGAGTGGTGACTGCTGATAGAGCAAGCTCAAGGTCTGGCTCACACTGTAGACTTCAGAACAAGCTCAACCAGCAGGGGGAGCTCAAGGACTTTCTAAACATTAAATTAGCGTCCTATTAAAAAGAACACAACTAGGCTAAGCTTTATGTCCTTTGGCTTTAGTTCTAGAAAATAAAAGCAAGAGTGCACAGGTAAGACCTTCTGTGGTTTAGAGCCCGTCTTCACTAATCTGACAATCTGAAGTGTCCTTTGGAGGTACTTCAGTATGACTGCACAAATGTCACACACCGAATTAATCAAACTGTTGGTCAAAATCTGCCTAAATATTTTCCCCCTTTTCTAAGAACAAAAGTACCATTCACTTTACTAACTCTGGAAACATACCACTGTAAGAAGATGATAGAATATTCTGCTATTGTTGCTTCTTCTTAAGGTACATTTCAGATTAAACAACAACAACATCAAAAGGAAAACATCCTACCTTTTCCTTCACCAAACGACCCAACAGCTTTTCATTTGGTGTACTGAAAAAAGAGAAACATGAAACTAGTGGTTGAAGGTAAAACAAAAAGTTTTTTATTTTGGTTTTTAGAGACAGGATCTCTCTGTGTAATATCCCTGGTTGTACCGGAACTCCCTCTGTAGACAAGGCTAGCTTCAAACTCACATAGATCAATCTGCCTCTGCCTCTGAGTGTTAGGATTAAAGACGTGTGCCACCACGACCCAGCTTACAGAAACGTCTTAGCTTTTTAATATTTGTATTTAATTGTGTCTGTGAGTGGGTGCTGGAGTTACACAGGGAGTTGTGAAGCAGCCTGATGTCAGTGCTGGGAACTAAACTCACCATACCGGGAAGGGCAGTCAAGAGTTCTTAAACCACAGAACCATTTCTCCAGTCCCTCAAGTAATAACTCAAAACACTTTTTAAATTAGTAAGGCTCCTTTTAATTTAAGGTTCTTAAAGAAAAATAAAACTTTGGCTCAAACACAGTCAGCTGTCTGCCCCCTTTTAAGACAAGCATTTCAGGAAGCCACCTACAGGCTCACCTCCCTCAGATACTTGGTGCACATACACAGTGCTCCAACCTTTACAACCAGGCAGAACTAAGTATTCCATTGATCCAGAAACAGGAGGGAAACTTAACTGTTTTACTGTACTGTTTTCACTTTACTATAATTGTGTGAAATAAAAATCCAGTCGGCCAGCACTGGAGGATTGTGTTATTAAACAGTCTCTTTTTGTTACTTCATAAAGGTTTGTAATGACAACTAGTATACCCAAGTCCTTAAAGGCAATCTGTGACCAACAGGTACCTTCTTTAGCACCTATGTCACTCAACGACAATTCTCAAGATGCCTAAAATATACTGCTTAAATAGAACTAATTATAAAATTTATGGCTTCTTTTAGCAATAAAGGGTATGCTGAAAAATCGTATTTTTCTTAATAAATAAGTAATGGACTAGGAGTAAAGTATATTTTTTTGGGGAAAAAAAAGACAACCACCACGTTTCTCTTCCACAAATCTACTATGTACTATTGTGATGACTTAACTATTTTAATCAGGAACCTCTGAATGAAATGTATATTGACAGCAATTTTCTATCTTTAGTATGCAATTTATTCCTAAATTGTAAGAAGTAGAATTAGATTTAGGTTAGAAAATACAGCATACTGATAACATATAGACATTAGTATTTCTATGCCTAATCCTGTGTGGGGTGAATTAGAATTTTCTTTACCCTTAAAAAGGGAGTAACATTACAAACAAAAGTCATAGACAATAGCCAGGTATGGTGGTTCATGCTTTTAATCTCAGCACTTGGGAGGCAGAAGCAGGCGGATTTCTGTGTGCTCAAGGTTAGCCTGGTCTACTAGTCAGCCAGGGCACACTGACCCTGTTGCAAACAAACCCACCAAACCAAACCAGAGAAAACTCTCCTCATTCTTCTTTGTTCTATATTACTAGGGATTGAAAATAGAGTCTAACATAAGATAAGTAAGTCTCTACCACTGAGCTATGCCTTCTACACCCCCACCTATAAATTATATATAGCCATGGCTGTCCTGGATCTCACTAAATAGACTAGGCTGGCCTTGAATTTAAAGGCCCACCTGCCTCTGCATCCTGAGTGCTGGGATTACAAGGTGTATTCCACCATACCTAGCAATAAAATACCAACCTACCTACTTATCTATCGTTTTTCAAGGCAGGGTTTCTCTGTTTAACAGTTCTGGCTGTCCTGAATCTTGTAGGCCAGGATGACATCCAACCTACTGAGAGCCACTGCCTCTGCCTCTGAAGTGCTGGGATTAAAGGCGTGCATCATCACTGCACAGCAAAAATATTTTTAAAATATTTAAAAATACTGAAATATTTTATGTGTGACTGTTTTGCCTGAATATATGTATGTGTACTACATGAATGCCTGGTTTTCTGTGTAGCCATGAATCGATCACCTAGAAGAGGAGTTACAGATGGTTGTAACCTACCATCTGAGTACTGGGACCAAGACCTAGATCCCATGAAAAAGTAGCAAGTGCTTTTAACTGCTGAGCCATCTCTCTAGTCCTTAAGATGTTTATTTATTTATTAAAAGATTATTTATTGCTGGGTGTTAGTGGTGCATGTCTTTAATCCTAGCACCCAGGAGACAGAAGTAGGCAGATCTCTGTGAGTTTGAGGCCAGCCTGGTCTACAAGAGCTTGTTCTAGGACACCTAGGGCTGTTACACAGAGAAACCCTGTCTTGAAAAACAAACAAACAAATGGCAATTTGCCTGCATGTGTTCTGGAAAAATAGCAAGACTCTTATTCTCTGAGTCATCCCTCCAGATCTCCTTTTCATTCATTTTGAGGTAGCGTCTCTCAAAGCTGCTCAGGCTGGCCCAAAACTTGTTCTGTATCCCAGGCAAACTTTGCATTGGTAAACCTCTTGCCTCACCCCCCTCCCGAGTACTTGAGATTACTGGCCAGTGCCACTAGTTTGTCTTCATAAAGGTTATAAATAGGGAGCAAAATGAAAAGTTAACAAAATTACTGAAGTTTACACAAACAATATTAAATATATCTTATATTCTTTATTATATAAAGCAGTATTATACAATATATCAAAGTTAATAGTAATCTGTTAGGCAAAATACATTAAGCCTAGGCATAGAAGTTAAAAAAAGAAAAAAGTTCGAGACCAACCTTAGATCTTCCTCATCGCCCATTTCAACTCCTGCTTCTCGAAGCATAGCCAAAGCTTCACAATACTCCAGTCTTAGAGTTGGCTCCAAAAATTTGAAGGGCTCACATGGGAACTGTTTATTCACAGTTTGAATTTCAGTCTGAAACCTGTATGTTCAATGTTTCAGTTAATAAAATGTTAGTTAAATTTTTCTTCCACAAGAGGTCACTGTAAACAAAATATGATATCAGTCTTTGAACTTACGTCTGTATCAAAAAAAAGCATCATCAAATTTTTAAGAACTAAAGTACTACTTATAATACTTAATTCCATTTCTTTGTTTCAAGTGTTTTGTTTTTTTCCAAATCACAGTATTTGGTATTAAAGGATTAAAATTTTTATTTACAACTCCTATCAATTAACATTGTTAGAAACAAAAATATATTCTGTGAGGCACTTTCAAAAAATCTTATTTTAATCATTAATCAATTCTTTTCATCTAGGAAGAGGACACTAAAAGATGTCTGCCTTGTTCTGCCATTCCCACCACGCTTTCTAAGATATTTAGGTGCTACTTCCTTCCTCCTATGATGTCCCCACAGTACCTGCACAAATTATAACTGCAGAGAACTGTGTTTCAGTAGTGAAGGGTTCTTTCCTTTTCTGAAACAGGGATCTCACTGTGCAGTCCTGGCTGACCTCACACTTGTAATCCTCTATCTCACGATCTCAAATGCTGCCATTTAAAGGAGTATCCTACTATACCTGGCTTATTTAAATAAGGCTTAAAAAAGCATATTTTGCTCAAATGTTTATGGATGAGATGATGATAGACTTGATTCAAATAGGGGCAAGGAAAATAGGCACAATAAATTTTTTTTAGCCATACACTAGCAATGACTAAAACAAGGTTCTAAGCACATAGGATTTGTGAGGCTTAGTGTCCCTAATTTAAAAACTTTTTAAAAATAAAAGCTGGAGAGATGGCTCAGTGGTTATAAGCACATATTTCTCTTGCAGAGGATCTGAGTTCCATTCCTATTACCCACATCAGGTGGCTCCTGTAATTCTAGTTTTAGAGAAATTGACACCTTCTAGACTCTGAGGACATTTGCACTCACATATAAACATACTACCTCCACAAAGGCATAACTAAAAAGTAAAAAAAAAAAAACTTTATTCCTATATTGGATTATAGGTGTGTGCCACATCTGGTATAGTCACTGATTTGGAAACGACTGTTCCTTTGTTTATCCCTACTCATGTCTCTCAATGCTCTGAGTCATTGATAGTTCTTTACCGATATATTACTCTGCAGCATAAACATGAGTGGAATATAGCACAAGCCTGACAGTCTAAATTACAAGGGACATAACAACAAATGGTTTCCAAATAATCTGTAAAATATGAAAAAAGGCTATTTTTCAAACTGTTGCCTTATGTTTACTAAAGAGGTTAGCAACAAAACTATTTGAGTCCTTATAATTAGACACAATTAATCTTGGTTTATTTCAAATACTCATATTAGAGAAAGAATAGATATCTAGAACAAGTTTTGGAAATTTTCTTAAACTATACAAGAAACCGTATTATTCTCTATCACTCCCCAACCAAAAAACAAAACAAAAAACTGCAATTGTTTTGAAATTAAAGCTATTTCAAGACATTAAATAATTTTAACCTTTCTTGAAGTCCTTTGAATATTTGCACCAAGGTATCAGCAATTTCTTCTACAACTTCATGGTAATGATAATTAAAAGCCATTTCAATATCCAAACCAACAAATTCAGTCAGATGTCTATGGGTATTGGAGTCTTCGGCTCTAAAAACTGTTAACCAAAGAAAAATAGTACAGTATTTTAAGTCTTGGGTAAATGAGAACTTAAATGCAGAATTGTACTTGGTAGTGCCCTAGGTGGTGCTATTATTTCATGCCCACAGGGTGAGACAGAGCACTGATAAGCCATCTGTTTCAGCATTCTCCTATACAGCAAGTTCATTACAAACTCCCAAGTCCTAGAGAAAAGCAGAACCAAATGCAAATTAATAAAAGAAGCTCTTGAGAACCCCTAGGGAATGCAAGATCCTGAGGCACCACCTCAATAATTAAAAACAGACTCATTTATGACTAATACAGTTTGTCTCCGTTTTATTAAAATATGGCTCAAGCAAAATGAAACTGCATAAGTGAAGTAACATTATACACGTTCCAGCAACTTCCAGTCCAGCTCCTATGCTCTCTGCAACTCCCCTGCAGTCTTTCACTCATCTTTCCTAGAACACACCCCTGCTTGAAAACTCACAACTCTCAAATGACTACTATAACAAGATATAAAATGACAAAGTCTAAAACCTTTACGTTTTTCAATTTAATCTTAGCCTATACTTCCAATTTCTAACCACTCTTATTTCTGTTTTCTCTTGTAGTCCATGCTTTCTACCTATCCTGTTCCCTGTAGAACATTATTTCAGTTTTTAAATATCCTACTAAGTCCTTAAAACCTACTTTAGTTTGAATTTTTTTTCATGGTGACTCCAGCAAATAATCTTTCTACTGCTAATTGTATAGCACATTCTGATTCTTTTTCTTTTGAGACAAGGTCTCACTTAGTAGCCTTGACTGTCTGAAACTCACAATGATCCTCCTGTCTCAGCCTCTTGGGTACAGGGTTATAGGTATGAGCCACACCACATGGCTCCCTGACACAGACTTCAAGATGTATTATTTGAATGTGTAATCATGGAATTATTTTGTAATTCATTGGCTTATTCCCCGTGACTGCTCTGTGCACGTGTGACTTACTCAGTAACAGAAGCAGGGATTGACATGTTCCCTTCTCACTCAAGGCACAATCTCTAAGCCAGGAGTACAGCAAGTATCTGGGCGCTTTGAGTGCTGAGCCTCAGGTTTCACCACAAATGTACTACAAGAACTTGCATTTAAATCTCTATCAGCATCTGATGAGTGTTGCTGATTCTTCTAAGGACATGGCACCTAGCCTTAAGAATATGTATACAATATATGCGTGGTAAATAATAACTTCAGAAAATTAACACATTAAAAAAAAATTTAAGACAGGATTTCTCTGTGAACAGTTCTGGCTGTCCTGGAACTTGCTTTGAAGATCAGGGTGGCCTTAAACTCTCAGAGATCCGTCTGCCTCCGCCTCCCAAGTGCTACCACCACCTGATTAAAATATTTAATTTTTGTGCCAACTTCTCTATTAGCAAAAGTTTAATAAGCTTTGGTAAATTATCAAAAAACATAAATAAAATAATTTGTTAAGTTTAAAAAATATTTCATCATCTTATGTATATAGATCTTTTGCCTGCATGTATGCCTGTGCATCACGTGCTTGCAGTGCCCACAAAGGCTAGAAGCAGGCATTATATGCCCTGGAATTGGAATTCTAGCTGGCCCTCTTACAGAGGACCTAGGTTTGATTCCCAGCAAGTATAAGGGAACTCATTAAGATTCACCTGCTGTAGAGGCCTGAAATTAAAGATGTGTATCACCTGACTAGTCCTCAAATCATGTATTTTTAAAACACATATCCACACTCACTCACTCACACACACGTTTTTATTTCTACCTTTAAGTTTAGTATTTTTTTCTTTTTGTTTTTTGTGAAATTGAACTGAGAGCCTTGAACATACTAACATAACAAATGCTCTATCATTGAGCCAAGTGCATCACTAGCTCTTAAATTTTAATATTAGATAATCAGCAGATAAATGGATTTAAGCTTTCAAAGGATCTAAATGCTAGTGTTTCTAATATAACTACTCTATAATTAATAGGTTTAATTCAACTATTTAACTCTACATAATTTTACAATTCGTAAACATAAATGACAATATCTTACCTGGTCCAATGCAGAAAACCTTCTCAAAATCAGCACAGATGCACATCTGCTTATACAGCTGTGGGGACTGAGCAAGGTAGGCATTATTTTTAAAATAAGACACAGTAAAAACATTGGCTCCTCCTTCACTGGCAGCTGAAATACAAACATTTATATTATTATAATCAATTGAATGTTAATTCATATAATTATTAGGTTAAAAAAAAGCAGTTCACTTAGAGAAAAAAAGAAGACCTAGAAAATCAAGGAAATATTCCCTTTTTCTGAATCAATTTCCAGTCTATTAGCTTAAGGCTGTAAAAACTTAATGAATAAATAAAAGGAAAAAATATTCCCTTCCCGGTGGGCGGTAGTAGTGGCGCACACCTTTAATTCCAGCACTTGGGAGTCTGAGGCAGGAGGACCTCTGTGAGTTCGAGGCCAGCCTGGTCAACAAGAGCTAGTCCTAGGACAGGCTCCAAAGCTAGAGAGAAACCCTGCCTCAAAAACAACAACAACAACAAACCTTCCTTTTTATCTGAGATAGGCTCTCACCATGTAAGGCTGCTCTTTTAATTATTTTTCTAATTGTCAGAAGGTGATGTTTAATTTTTTAATCTATATCTAAATACCATTCTTTTAATAATTTAACTTCTGTATATTGTTTTGCCTACATGTGTGTATGTGTATCTTATGCATACCTTGTACCAGAGGCCATCATAAGAAGGCATTGGATCTCCTGAATCTAGAGTTACAGATGATTCTGAGATACTGTGTGGGTGCTACAAACTGAATCTGGGTCCCCTGCAATAGCAACAAGTGCTCTTCAACTGAGCTATGGCTCCAACCCCATTAATAACATTCTTTTAATGTATTTATTTAATCCGTGTACACATTTGCCTTTAGAAGTGCATGTGAAGCTCAGAAGAAGCTTTTGAAAGTTAGTTCTCTCCTTCTATGTGTTCTGGGGATTTGAACTCACATTGTTAAGCTTAGTGGTAGTAGCAAGGCAAGCCCTTTACCCACTAAGTCCTGCAATGATGATGATGACAGTGATGATGATGATGATCTTTTGAAACAAGCTCTCTTTATGCAGTCTTGGCTAGCCTGGACTTGCTATGTAGACCAGGCTAGCCTTGAATTCACAGAGATCCACCTGCCTCTGCCTCCAAAATGCTGGGATTTGTTTGCCAGCAGGAACAGCTAGAACGCTATTTGTAACTCATCTTCTCAGTGTTATGTAAACAATTCTAAAAGGGTAAAATGATGAAGACAAGATTCTCATCCAAGAATGATGTCAACAGGTATTTGGTGGTTTTTACAACGAAGTTTATATAAAACCAAACTGTTCTGCCAATTCTGATGGAAATTAACATAATAAAAATACATGTGGCCTAACTTTCAGTATAGGAATCATGTTTTGTTACTGCTTCATTTCCTTATCATTACCACAAAGTGACTGTTGAAGGAAGAAAATGGAACACTGTAGATGGTATCATTGTCCTTGAAATAAGTCCATGGCACTAAATCTTAAGAACTCTTGGAATTATTTCAGTTTAAAAATTAACATAAGCAAGACTGGGTGGGGGTGGTTTAAATTACAGGATACGTCTTGAAACATACCTGAAATAATTTTAGGAGTTTGGATTTCCACAAAACCTTTGTTAATTAATGTTTCCCGGAAGAGATGGCAGATGCCGGACTGGAGACGGAAGACAGCCTGACTAGTTGATGTCTGTAAGATAGCATTAAAGTCTAATTAAACCAACCTGGCACAGCAAGCAAGTTAAACTATTCCTGCTCTCAGCAATGTTTAAGTCCAATAGTACTGGAGAAGATGAAACACACAACAGCCCAAGACAGAAGATGATGAGACAAGCTGCAATCTAATGAATATATATGATCATACTGAGCCATTCTCACTAGAAATGCTTCCTGATGTTCTGATTTATAAAAATACCATTCGAGAAAAATATTTCTTAACAATTAGTGAAACACCTTGCTTGTAGATTCTCTTGGGGACTGTTTTTAAGGGCAATCCACTGCGTGAGACATCAATGTGTATGTAGCATACAAATATTCTAAGTAAGAGTGTAGCATGGAGTAATAAATCACCAAAGACAACACGTATGTTCATGTTAATCATCACCAATTATATGCTAACTGTAGACAGCCATGCATTTGTTCCATTAAAGAAAGAAACTGAATACATAAAAGGCACAGCACCTCACAACTCTGACCCACAGTGGCACAGAAAGCAGTGAGGAGCAGCTCTCTAAGAGCTTGCTGCTGCCATCTTTTTTATTTTCTTTCTTTTCCGCTTAATCTCCTCAGTTACTCTGGTTCCCTTTGTTTACCTTCAGCCTCAATCAGTGGCCAGAGCTCTCTAGTAATTATCTGTGTTCCAGTTAAAAGAAGTGGCTTCTTATCAGTAAGTCTTGCATAAAACATTAAAGGGAAAAAATTGTTATAACCAAGTAGGTGTTTGATAAAATACCTGACCTCAACCCAGACCAGGATAACCAGAGTGCTGAGTTGGTATTCACGCATTTCAATGAACTGTGCTCTATGGCCACAGCTCATCCTGCCTATGCACACTCTGCACTCTGATGCAGACACTAAGGACCAGGTGGCTGCTACTCTACATCTTTTATAGGAAAGAATGTAAACTTGAGTTTCTGGAGATCAGGACTTTTTCTTTTTTAAAACAAAACAAAACACTTTATTCATTTTACTTACTTAAAAAAAAAGATTTATTTACTTATTATGTATACAGTATTCTACCTGCATGTATGCCTGCAGGCCAGGAGAGAGCACCATGGGGTTGGGAATTAAACTCAAGACCTTTGGAAGAGCAGGTAGTGCTTCTAACTACTGAGTTATCTCTGCAGTCCCTATTCATTTTATTTTGTGTGCAAGTGTCATACCTCATGTGTGGTGGTGGTCAAAGGATAATAGTGAAGTTGGCTCTTTTTCTACCACATTGGAACCAAGGATGGACCTCAGGTTATCAGCCTTGGCTCAAAGTGCCTTTATGCCTTGAGCCATCTTGTCATCCCAAATCAGGGCATACTTAAGCAGTGTTATTTTATAATTCAAATTCAAAGACACAAATCAATAATTCCTCACAAAACAATGGAGACAATTTTTTAAAAGCCTCTATAATCTGTTATAACTGTTTAATTATTCACTTTTAAGACATTTACATTTAAATTAGAGAAAAGAATTTGTGGCTTTACTTATTTATTTACTTGTTCATTTATTTGTTTGTTTATATGTTATGTGACTTAAGGAAACACTGCCTCATTCAATTACTACAAACTATTTTTCTGCTTTGTAGTACCTAGCAACCTATAAATCCAAGAGGTATGTCACTGTACTTCTACACATATGGAGACACAATTCACTTTAGTGAAATATATTCTATGTAAGGGCCACTACCACACTGTATCGCTCTTTCTTCCTTTCTTCCTTCTTCTCTCTCTCTCTCTCTCTTTCTTTCATCCATTTAGCTAGCCTAACTTACCTTATTTTATCCTCTTATAAAATTGAAATCAAGCTTCTGGACTGTTGTAACTCATATAGTATACATAGAAATTACACTTAATCATGTTTTAAAAAATAAATTTTAGGGCTGGAGAGATGGCTCAGGAGTTGGTCTTCCAGAGGTCTTGAGTTCAATTCCCAGCAATCACATGGTGGCTCACAAGCATCTCTGGTGGGATCTGACACCCTCTTCTGGCATAAAGGTATACATGCAAATACAGAACTCATACACATAAAATAAATAAATAAACAAATCTTTAAAAAACAAATTTTGGTGGGTGGTGGTGGCACACGTCTTTAATCTCAGCACTCGGGACACAGAGGCAGGTGGATCTCTGTGAGTTCGAGGTCAGCCTGGTCTGTAAGAGCTAGTTCCAGGACAGGCTCCAAAGCTACACAGAGAAACCCTGTCTCAAAAAAAAAAAAAACAAAAAACAAAAAAAAAACAACAAACCAAACCAAACCCACAAACAAAAAACCCAAAAATTAAAACAAGCCCCCCCAAAACCCTAAAAATAAATACACCCCCATCACATACTAAGCCCCATTATTCTTGGCTTACTGATTGTATCAACAAATCTGTCAATGTGGGAAGAAAATGGATCCATGGTGTATATGAGAAAAAACAGCCCTCTATCCCATTAGGTTCTTTAAGGTACTTGCTTGCCACTGGCAAGATAGGTGCCTATTTTATTAGAGAGAAGGAACTGGGGACACAGCTTAGGGCTGTGTCATTTGCCTTGCATACTAACATACTAAAAGTTCTATGCTCCATTTGTATTACAGAAGAAGAAAACAAGAGAGTGTAGCTCGACAGTGAAGTTCTTACCTAGCATGCACAAGCCTCTGGGTTTATTCTCTAGACCACAAACACAAAAACAAGAAACTGAACACAATTATTCAGACAAAAATTCTAGCATGTCCCAATTTCTATCTGGCTCCCTAGAGAATATTCTCTGGCAGATTCTACCTTTTAAATGGTTTGAGATGACTATAGCAGTGCATACCTCCAACACCAGCTCTTAGGAGGCTGAGGCAGGAGGAATTTGAGGGGCCACGGGATGAGGACTGCTAAAATCAAGAATGAGGTTGGTGAGAAAAGTTAATCAGAATTTATAAACATAAGGTGTTCTTGAAAAGCAGTTGGAGAAAGCTTCAAAGGAAAGCCTTGCTTATTTTGACTATCTGTAATGCTGACAACATTCCTAGAAGCACACTTGACTGAGTGCATGCCAGTTATCTTTGTACTCAGGACACAAAGCTACTACAAAAAGCTTGAATATCTGTGCATGGAAACTTGCCTCAAGGAAAACTCTGTTCTCAGGGGAACTGTACTCAACAGACTAACACAGAGCCTGAGAAACTTCTAGTCTACTGCAGAATCATGTTTCAGCAACAGCCCCTCCTTCACAAAGAATCGAATGGCATTAGAAGCCAAGGTGGAGAAACCATCTATCTATCTATCTATCTATCTATCTATCTATCTATCTATCTATCTTCATTTTTCGAGACAGGGTTTCTCTGTAGCTTTGGAGCCTATCCTGGAACTAGCTCTTGTAGACCAGGCTGGCCTAGAACTCACAAAGATCCGCCTGTCATATAAAACTGGATAGAGGGCTGGAGAGATGGCTCAGTGGTTAAGAGCACTACCTGCCCTTTAGAAGGTCCTGAATTCAGTTCCCAGCAACCACACAGTGGCTCACAGCCATCTGTAATGAGATCTGGTGCCCTCTTCTGGCCTGTAGGCATACATGCAGGCAGAATACCAAGAATACTATATACATAATAAATACATAGATAAAAAAAAAAGTCAAGCAGGGTGTGTATGTGTGAAACTGCTAAATCTCTTAAAAAAAACTGAATAGAAAGTTATGTTTAAAATAACCTTTCATTCCAAATGAGCTACTCTTCTTTTTTCTTAAATCAGATTGATGTAGAATTTATAATTAAGTACAAGTAACCTCTGTAATAAAAAACTGGAATCACTGCAAAACTACTATTTTATTACTACATATGGAAAGTTTGGCAGCACTCAGGTTAAATCTCAGCAAAGACTCACCAGCACATAGGCACTGTAGTGTACGATAAAGGTGCTGCAGACTGAGACTGGGTGGTTTGCAACACAACAGTGTCTGGCATCCCTAGAGCACTCTGATTCAGGCCAACTGTTACCACACCCAGGAAACTCCCGGGACTACCTCAGGCCACCCAAATTTTTTTTTTTTTTAAAATATCATCAGCTACGGCAATCACCCATCTATGATTCTCACAGCATTCCCTCAGCATTACTTCAATTTGTTTCTGCCTCTCCTCACTTCTGTCATGGTGGATTTCACTTGTATTACTATTATTTCCCTTTAAATCACGCCTTAAATGGCACATCCTTAGCAGTAACAGCATCCAAAGACACATGAATTTAATTTGCAAGCTATATCACATAACTATTAAAATATAAGACATGCATCTGCTTAACAACCAGAAACCACTGTACATCTCCAGTTTTAGAAAAACATTGTAAAACTGAAATGCCATAAATTCCAATATGTTGGCATGTAAACTATACTGCCAAGAAAATCTTTTGTATTACAACGGAGTAAAAATGTATTAGAAATATATATTTTCATTTTCTACTTGAAAAAAAGTATTGAAGTAGACAAGGAACAGACAGACACTTGATTATAAACTATCTAATTACTGTGTAAGTGTTTCAGGATTCCATGGTTTTGTTAATGACTTAAAATTTTTTTCTAGATTTGTTTTATGTATATAAGTGTTTTGTCTACCTATATTTTTGTGCACCATGTGCACGCCGGCTTCTCTGAAGACAGAGACATCAATACTAGATACTCTGAAACTGGAGTTGCAGACAATTAAGCTTCCAAGAGAGTGCTTGGAAACAAAACTGGATCCTTGATAAGAAAGGCAAGAACTCTTCCCTACCTCCCCCCAATAAATTATTTAATTTTTTAATGAAAAAAATTATGTGTATGGGCATTTTGTCTGCATGTATATTTGTATATTATGTGGTTGGAGTGCCCAGAGAGGAAAACAGGAATGTTGGATCCCTTGAAATTGGACTTACAGACAAGTTATAAGCCATCATAGGTGCTGGGAAACCACACTACAAGTCTGTTCTTAACCACTGAGCCACCTGTCCATTTATTTATTTTATATGTGTATGGGAAGGCAAGTACAGACTTTCAAGAGTTGATTGGCTCCTTCGATCATGTGGGTTTCTGAGACTAATATTAGGTCACTATGCTTGGTGGCAGTTACCCACACCACTGAGCCATCTTGATGCCCCAAGAATGTTAAAATGTTAGTCATTTGTATTCTCAGAAAAGTCTAAGTTAAATGACTTTATCTTACTCACCTAGTCCTTCAATAGGTCACTGTGACAGCCAATCCACCCTCTAAGGATGGCAGGGTATTTGGGAGACTTTTGGAAAGCTCGCACTTAAGTCAGAATCACTCTTTGATACTATCCTCTTAGGAACAGATAAATGTCATCAAGATAGTAAATACTTATTTTTACTCTTGGGGATACATTGCTTACATAGTAGATTTCCCTAATTAAGAATGTATGACTGGAGCTGGGCGGTGGTAGTGTACACCTTTAATCCCAGCACTTGGGAGGCAAAGGCAGGCGGATCTCCGGGAATTAAGGCCAGCCTGGTCTACAAAGTGTGTTCCAGGGCAGTCAGAACTGTCACACAGAGAAACCCTGTCTCAACAAACAGGCAAAAAGAATATATTACTTTAGTTGGCTTAACATTACAATTCATTTAATTTAAAAAAAAAAAACTACTATTTTATGTGAATGGGTGCTTTGCCTGCATCTTTTTTGTTTGTTTTTCGTTTTTTTGAGACAGGGTTTCTCTGTGTAGCTTTGGAGCCTGTTCTGGAACTTACTCTGTAGACCAGGCTGGCCTGGAAATCACCCGCCTCTGTCTCCGAGGTGTGCCACCACTACCAGGTGTTTGCCTGCATGTTTATCTAACACTCCATTCACATAAGGCTCTTGGAGGTTCCAAAGGATAACAGATTCCTCGAAACTGGAAGTTACAGACAGTTGTGACGTGCCATATGGGTGCTTGGACCTAAATGGGGCCCTTTGGAAGAATATCAGCTCTCTTATCCATTGGGCCATTTCTCCATCCCACAATGTATTTTCTTTAATTGATCACTGCGCTAAAGCTTTTATGCTCATATTACCAGCTTCATATAGACAAACACAGGAATATATAGCAGTTACTTACTTCGAAAAACTGAGTATTTTTAGGAGATAAGACTTTTGATGAGGTCTTAGGGCAGTCCTATCTCCCTTGGTTTACCACGTTATCATAGAAGTCAAGCCATTTGTTTGTTTGTTTATTTAGGTTTTTTCAAGACAAGGTTTATCTGTGTAGCCCTGGCCATCCTGGAACTCGCTCTGTAGACTAGATTGGCCTCAAATTCAGAGATTACCCTGCCTTTGAGTTTAAAGTTTGTGTCACCACCACCCAGCATGAAGTTGAGCTATTTTAAAAAGCATAACATATTATTTTTTTGTTTGTTTTGAAGACGGGGTTTCTCTGTAGCTTTTTTGGAGCCTGTCCTGGAACTAGCTCTTGTAGACCAAGCTGACCTCGAACTCACAGAGATTCATCTGTCTCTGCCTCCCGAGTGCTGGGATTATAGGCGTGTGCCACCACCGCTTGGTAAAGTATAACATATTTAAGCTAGGGATCTAGTTAAGTGAGTAGATTGCTCACCTAACATGTATGAGGCCTTAGGTTCAATCCTAAGTTATCCAGCATAACTGGATGTGATAGTGTCTCTCTAGGCTATCAGAACTTGAGAAGTAAAGGCAATAGGATCAGAAGCTCAAGTTTTCTTCAACCACAAAGATAGTGGCCTTATCTCAAGAAAATAAATAAAATACAAGGGGCTGGTGAGATGGCTCAGTCAGAAGAGATGCTTGCTGCTAAGCCTAATGATTTGAGTTTGATCCCTGGAAACCACATGGTTTAAGGAAAGAACCAACTCTCACAAGTTGTCCTCTGACTTCCATGTGTGCACCACGGCACATGCCTACCGTCCCCTGACCCTCCACAAAAAACTTAAGATGACCCATGCAAATGTGAGGTCAAGGGTTTAGATCTCTAGTATCCACATAAAAAGGCAAGCGGGTGTGGTGATCTGCTTATAATCACAGTACTATGGAGGTTTCAACAGAGGACCGTGAACAAGTTGGTTAGGCAGACTAGCCCCAAACACTGAACTCTGGGTTCAGTAAGAGACCCTACCTCACTATAAAGAGTGGAAAAAGACCTCGGCAACCACCTTGGACCCCAAAACAAAGATGCATGTGCACGCACACACTTTCATACATGTACCTCCATACACAGGAATATGCACATATGCATATGCAGACCACTTTCACATGAAAAAAACAGTGTTTAAGAATTAGACAAATAACATGAATGAATTAAGTATAGGATAACACAAGGGACATAGTCTACCTAGTACTTTATTTGGCCAGAATGAGCCCAATATTGCTAAGATCTCCAACTTTTCAAGAAAAATCATCTGGACGTTAATATGAAAATCTTCCCACCCTTCTTTTCCCTCCAAGATGACCTCCAAATGCTTTTTCTTTTGTTTGTTTTTGAGCCAAAGTCTTATCACTGTAGCTACAGTTGACCTCTAATTGTCTATATAATCCAAGCTGACTTTGAACTTTCCTGTCACAGCCTCTTGAATGATGGGGATTATTGGTGTACACAACCAAGTGTGGCCAAATCCTGGGTTTCAGTGATTCTGTATTGGCCTTTCAAATAGCTGGGGTCACAGGCCTGTGTCATGGCACCTAGCAAAACTCCCTGGGTACAATGCACTTAAATTAGACCATCACCACAGACAAAATTGTTCTGGGCCAAACTAGTATAAACCAGCAACAACACTGAAAAAACAGTATGGGCAAACAAAATATACCCAACTCTGATGGTCAAAATAAATGGAAAACCTGAGATTTCTAGGTAGTCGTGAGAGGTTAGTTTTTGCAACATAAAATTAAAATGGAGGTTAAAAAAAAAAAAAGAAGACAGAAAGCAAATAGAAGAAGCGTTAAGTGAACACTACAAGGAGACACAACTGCAGAAGAATCAAAGTCAGAAAAAACTTAGGGCAGCAAAGAACCTGAGCATGAGACAGAACACTCAAGGAGGAAGATGTGGTCAAACATTAAGAAAGAGAGATGACAAACCAGTGATGAAACCACTGAACTCTTTCACTTGCAACCAAACCAAAAGAGAAACAGAAGGCCCAGGAGACGACACTGCAAACCACGGCAGTGACTTCAAAATAACAATTCCTGTCTCTACCTGGTTGCGCTAAATTGTATACATTTTCTTTTACTTCTTGTAGTGATTTATTGATTGCATTTCCACATGCTTACTAAGTCTGCACAAAACAGACATCACCTGGGAGTCACCCCAACACTGGCATTATAATCATCTGTTATTTTCAAACAAAGCAAAATCAGTATCCTGCAAACTAGTTCTTACCTGCTCCTGGCAGTTTTCTGGGGAAAAGGTCAGCTAGAGAGGTACACTATGTCTTGTATCACGATACTCATACATACGCAATTAGCTTTAAGGTATCCCCACACAACTCAGTGTTGGTATAACCATATCAACAAACAAATGAGGCATACCCTAAGATCAATGACTCTGTTGTCTAATCTTGTATCCTGGTTAACAGTAGCTCTTCCTTCCTAAAAAAGAAAAAAAAGGGGGGGGGGGAGAAAAACATATTTATACCAGTATTTAAGTACACACATGGATATCATATACCCTACTCTTAGAAGCTATGTATCCTTTTAGTGAGTGGTGTGTATGTTAAAATTGTACATGGAAATCCCTATGTCAAGAAAATAGGCAGAGTAAGAGGAATGTCAGGGAAAAATTACTGTTAGAGGCAAAGATGATGCTGGGGATGGTAAGGCACGCCTTTAATGTCAGCACTTGGGAAGCAGAGGCAGGTGAATCTCTGTTTCTTTGGTTTTGAGGCTAACTAAAACTATATAGTAAGGCTCTGTCTTAAACATCCACACAGCAACAAAGGAGAGAAGGGAATGCAGGGGAGGGAGACTTAGAATAGAGATGGCTCAGTGGGTAAAGCATATGTTATAAAGGTGAATACTGAACTTTGAATCCTCATTGTCCATGCTGTTACACATGAGCTAGCTAGACAAACTCAATCAGTGAGCTCTGGGTTCAAAGTGAGATACCCTATCTCAATACATAAGGTGAAGAGTGATTATGGAAGACACCCACTATCAACTTCTGCATCCATATATACACATGCACCCACTCTCCTACTCAAAAACAATAACAAAGACAAAAAGAGATAGTAAAATGAGAAAGAACAAAAATATTGCTTTCTTTCCCTTCTCCAAACTTGCTCACTACTGGGGTACCAGAATTCCCCACCTGAACTCTTATTACTTCCTGATTTAACCTGCAAGCCCTGACTAACACCCAACAGGAAGAACAACACAGAGCAACAGTTTTTAAATAATGTGCTCTAGGGACCACCAACAGTCCCAAGATTTTGAGGGAGTCCCTGAAGTCAAATCAATCTCTCTCTCTCTTCCTTTTTACATTTTTTTTTCTTTTTCAGCTGGGCGTTGGTGGCGCATGCCTTTAATCCCAGCACTCAGGAAGCAGAGGCAAGCAGATCTCTGTGAGTTCGAGGCCAGCCTGGTCTACAAGAGCTAGTTCCAGGGCAAGCTCCAAACTACAGAGAATCCCTGTCTCGAAAAAACAAAACAAAACAAAAAACCAATTTTTTTTTTCTTCTTCTTAAAAAAAAAAAATACAGTGTTTTCTCGGCATATATGCCTGCAGGTCAGAAGAGGGCAGGATATCTCATTACAGATGGTTGTGGCCACCTTGTGGTTGCTGGAAATTGAACTCAGGACCTCTGTAAGAGCAGGCAGTACTCTTAACCACTGAGTCATCTCAAACTCAGAGATACACCTGCCTCTGTCTGGGATTAAAGGTGTGCTCCACTATACAGGGCTAAATTTCTTTTTTTAATTACTTTTCATTTTCACTCAATTAGTTTACTAAGAAATTTGAAAATGCTGTATGATTGGTAACTTCCCAACATGGTGAACTCAAGGACCATATAGGAATCTAGATATACAAGAGGTCAGACATTTACAAACTGTCCATATTTAATATGTCACTTGTAACAGGAAAGTTTTGTTTTGGAAAATACAAAGCATGCTTTGGTCACTTTTACATTTTATCAAAATATATCCAAGCATGCAATACTTTCATATTAACATTTTAATAAATAAATTTTGCCTTAAACGTTAATTCTATAAATACTAACATATGAACAAAACAAGAGCTTATGGGGGGCATCTTCTATATTTTTAAGAGAATTAAAAAGAACTTTCTTTCCTTTTAGATTCTGTGACAGATGTCTGTTAGATAAACCTCTACCACTGAGCTACATCCCTAGTTGTAAAACAGATCAGGACACCAAAAAAAGTCTGAGATATGCTGGTGGTAAGAGTAATTTATTTATTTGTGATGCAAAGGCGGGAAAGATGGAAGAGTGACACCTCCACCCCCCGTTTGCTTGCTTTTTTTTGTGTGTTTTGTTTTTGGTCTTTTCAATTAATATTCTTTTGCTATTTTTTTTGTTTCTTTCCTTTTTTTTTATTTTTGTTTTTTTTTGAGACATGGTTTCTCTGTGTAGCTTTGGATGTTCTGGAACTCACTTTGTAAAAGACCAGGCTGGTCTTGACCTCACAGATTCGCCTGCCTCTGCCTCCTGGGTGCTGGGATTAAAGGTGTGTGCCACCATGCCCAGCCTTAATTAATATTCTTATTTGCACTTTCATTTTTAAAATTTTATTATAATTATTTTTTTAAGTTTTCCTTTGGGGAGGATGATACAAGGGTGAAGGGCAGATATGGAGAGACTGGAAAATCAATGGGATTGGGGTACATGATGTGAAATTTCTGAAGAGTCAATAAAATTATGCTTAAAATTAAAAAAAGAGTAATTTAATTAAACCCAGGCCTGCTGAATTGTAGATAAACAATTGGAATTCAAGTCAATTTACAGGTACTCTTCGTACAAGAAGGCACTGGATGTCCAGTGTTACAATTTATCTAGACCCATGTGACATAAACTTTACCTCTTCACCTTCCACTTCAGGCCGAACAGCATCATCCAGCTGCAACGGCAGGCGAGGTTCAGCCAAACTGATCACATAAATCTGGAAATGAGAAATTGCCAAAAATATTAAGTAACAAAACCTGTTATCTTCTGTTTAAAAGATAATCTACATGGAACGATGCTTGCATACATCTTTAACTGAAACCATTTGGTGAAACAAATAAGATGATATCCATTTTTAATCTACCCAGCAGGGATACTATTGTTGGCTCTATGGATTGTTTGAAGTCAACTAAGACAACACAAATATTTTTAAACCCTAGGTATACACCATTGTAATAAACAAGGCCTAGTTATATCAACAAAAGCTGTGATTAGGGAAATCAATCTCAAAGCTTCAATTAAAATGGGGTCTGCCACAAGAACCAAAGCAGTAACATAGGTGTTGCTATTATTAACATTATTCAGCCACTGCTACCACTATGATCAACTTCAGCCCAGCTAGGCGACACCCATCTTCCTTTCTTTATTCTTTGAGTCTCCCTCAATTGACTCCTTTCATCAAACATCACATCTCATTTCCTGCTGTTCTGGTCAGAAGCTGCCACAGAGGATGCTCTTTTACGTTATCCAGTACCTCAATACTCACATATGCTAATTGTACATTATAGTGATTTCTGAACACCTCAAAAATGCGTTACCTTTACCACTTGCAACCTGAATTTACTAAGTCTGGTGAATCACAAAGGGGAATCACCTCTACTTCATTAATTCAGAAAAGGAAGCTGTATTCTCCCAGTTTGTGGACATCACCTGGCATTCAGAAAGTGTCAGAGGCTTTACTATAGCAACACTCAAAGAACAGTTATCTATCATAGTTCCCTACACACAAGTTTTAGGCTTCCTTTGGTTAATACAATCTTGATCTTCAAACCCCAAACTGGAGAATCAAAGAGCTATGACTTTCATAACCAGTGGAAATTCATCCTCACCTTCACTGGGTTCAGGTTCACATAGTACTTAGCACAAAGCAGTACAAATAGTATATACAAACAGTAACTATTAGTTGAGTACAGTCAACTGCATATGGTATAATTTAACACTTTGCAATATTATGGCAAAACTTATCAGTAAATTCCTAAGGCTTTATTATTTATGGCTGACACTTTTAATGCTAGATATAAGTTCTGCTATTGAGTTAGGATCCTCCCATGTATTAAAAATTCAAGTTTGCTTTAGTCATTAAGTTTTCTTTATTAGAGTACTGGAACACATGTCAGCTAGAAAAGACAAACCCTTTTCTGTCAATATAAATGAACTTCTATACTAGACTCAACAAAGAACAAAGTAATGTATCAGGCCAGCTTAGCAAAAATACAAGACTTTCCGTATCTCAGAGTTTCACAATAATTAACTCCTATTAAATTTAACTCTTCATTTCCAAATCAGTGGGTGCAGATGTGCAGATCTCTCTGAATCTACCAACCCGTCTTTCTTACGCATGTTCCTAAATACTCCACCCCTTCATTCTGTGGAAAGGGGTCTCTGTGTATGTGCATTTCTGGCTTTAGATCCCTTAAGGTTGAGAGAGCGAAGAAACTATCCCTTGTCTTGAAAATCATTTAAACATTCATTCATTTATTTATATGAATGTGTGTACACATATGAGCATATATGCTCATACCACATGAGTGGAAACCAGGAGTTGGTTCTCTCCTATTAAGTGAGTGCCCCAGCACAAACTGATTCAGTAATGACCATAATCTCAGAATTCTACAATTTGTTGTTTTATCTCATATAGGAGAGGCTGATCTCAGACTCAGAGGGATTAAAGGTATATAACTATGCTCACCTACATCAATTTATTAAGAACATACAGGTCTGATATAAAACAGTCTAAAAATTACTCAAATCTATAGATAATCTTATCTGTTCCTCTCTTGCTCTTTTTATGTGGTGCTGGGGGTCAAATCCAGAGTACCATGCACACTAAGCTGTATGTATCTCCAGTCCTCACAACACTGTATTTATAAGATTAGTTACCTTCTGGACATGTAACTCAACGTCTTGTTGTGTACAGCTTCCAATTTTCTGATTTACTTTTCTCACAATGCCTTCCACATCAATAATACTTTCTTTGTTGATGCTGTCAAGAGAGAAAAAAATCCTTAACTTTAATAATCCCATTAGAGGTGTCAGGATTCATTTGGTATTTAAGCTGCAGAATATGTCAAACCATTCTTCAATAGAGGAGACACTCGTGTTAAAGCCAGCCTCTTCAACCTATTTAAAACAAGCTCTTACACAGAATACCTTGTGAGATTCTGTTAAAGAGATGATTTTTTTAAAAAGATGCCACAGTTTAGTAACAATTTATAAGATACTTGGGACATGAAAGGCAATAGGACCAAGTGAATTGTAAAAAGTTGTAAAGGCTCTGAATTATTAAAGAGCCCTTTCCCTCTTACTCTTGAGATCACTAAGATCATTTCCTTTAGTAAGAAACTCTGCCTTCAATAAATGCAATTACTGTTATGTAATGGAATTAAATAAGAAGGGCAACTGAAAAGTTTTTCAAGTACTAAGAGGTGTTGCAATTACACCTTCATTGCCTACAAGCATCCTCACTCACCTTGTCCCTGGATTATGACTGATAACCTAGTCGTGCACTCACACAGAAGGAATGCTTGTGTGACACTTAATATTAAAACAAATATAAAATAACTGCATCTCCTGGGCTGTCTTTTAACAAACCAAAGCTTCAAACACTAGACACTTAAATTTTGAAACAGAATTTTATTACATTGTCTATTAAACAATCATTTTCTGGTTACTTTGCACATAACCAAGAAAAGGTGTAATTTTAAATGATGATTCCCAAACAAACTAAACTAGGTTTGTTTTTTGCTTTGCATATTCTTCAATGATGGAAGGTGACAATGCATTTGGTGAAAATGATTAAGATTCATGGGAAAGCTGCCTTCATTCTGACGCAGAATCGTATCTTCAGTAGTTGTGGCGTTATCAGATACACTAGAAACCACAAAGTGCTAAGTGTAGTCTTAGAACGTCACAGTGAGCTACAAGGCCATCTACTCAGGGATGGAAAGGCCTAGGCTGTACTGTCTAGGATTCTGTCACCGACTACCTTTTTAAAAACAATTAATAGTACATATAGCTCTTCTCTCTTGAGTATCCTATACCACAGCTATCACCGAATATCTAACTAAAGAAAAATCCTAATTTGTAATTAGAAGGACCAGGCTTCTATTTACTATTCAAAGCATTTCCTGACATTGGTAGTGCGGAGTCACTCATCTGTCTTCTAACTGCTGCCTCATCTGTATGCGTGGGTCAACCTGATGCTTGAATAGGTGATTCAGGGCTGGCTGTTTCACATGTCACCAGGAGAAACGTTTTCTCCTCACTGATCAGTACAGTATGTCATTAACCAACCCTACCTCAACCACAGCTCCAATTTTCCTATTGTCCCTAAGCTCATAGTGCTTTGGTTTCACTCACTCTGACTCTGGACCTTCTGTTAGTAGACAGTCTCCTTTAAAGCCACTTAAGTTAAATATTGCCTTTTTCAACACAGTATTTTTATTGACTATTTGGGAATTTCACAACATGCACTCCAATCACACTCACATCCTAGTCCTGCCAGGTCCATCCTCACAAAACAAAACAAACAAGCCTTTATCTATCTATCTATCTATCTATCTATCTATCTATCTATCTATCTATCTATCTATCTATCCATCCATCCATCCATCCATCCATCCATCCATCCATCCATTTATTTATGAGGCAGGGTTTCATTACATAGACCTAGCTGGCTTGAGCTTATTATGTAGCTTTAATAGGCCATGAACTCTGAGATCTCCTTACTTCTGTCTCCTGAGTGCTGGGATTAAAAGTGTGTCACACTATGCCCAGTAACATTGCTAAAAAAAAACAAACAAACAAAAAAATAAAAACCACCGACTTACTTTGTGTGCGTCATGTGGTGCATGCAAACCCATAGGAAGCCCTGAGTAAGTTAAGTCCTCCTGAATGTGTGTTTGCTGACATAGATATAGCCATGTCAAGGAGCCCAAAACCTTCTTATACTCAGGAGAAAATAGCAAAGCCTTCCTCTAGTCCATCTGCAGAGAAGGTTCATCACAATATACTCCCCCTAGATAGTTACTGCCTGAAGACTTCTCCCCTTCAGAGACTACTCCTACCAAGATTAGCTACACCCATCTCCTTGATTCAGCTTGTAAGCCCTGCTCCCTTGATTAAACTGTGTAGTGGTAACGCCTCTGTCTACCACTATACACAAACATGCTGAACTACAGGGCGCTGACGCGTCTCCACAAGAGCTGTCTTGTGTCCGTCTTTCCTTCATTCCCTTACCTAGAGCCACACTACAGAAAATACTATAGCATGAGTGATGAGTGTGGAAGTCGGATGACAACTTGGGGGATCAGTTCTTTCATTTGACCACATGGGTCCACGGGATAAAACTCTGGTTTTCAGGCTTGGAAAGTCCCTGCCAGACTACCCAGCTGGCCTAATTTCTCCCTTTTTTTGTATTTACTTTTGTGTGGGGCTGGACAGACAGCTCAGTGGTTAAGAGTACTGAATGCTCTTCCAAAGATCCTGAGTTCAACTGCCAGCAACAATACGGTGATTCACAACCATCTGTAATGAGATCTGGTGTCTTCTTCTGGCCTGCAGGCATACATGCAAGCAGAACACTGTATAGATAATACATAAATAAACAAGTCTTAAAAAAATTATCTGTGTGTGAGTGTTTCACTTACGTGTATGTATGTGTACCATGTGCATGCCTAGTGCCCAAGGTGGTCAAAAATGCATCAGAATCCCTAAACTGGAGTTACAGATACCTGAAAATATCACGTATGTTGTGGGAACTGAACCCTGGTCCTCTTAACCACTGAGAAATCTTTCTATTCCCTCAAGATTTCTACTCTTAACAAATGTGTTTCACACTAGTTTCCTCGCAGAAAAACAATGAAATGTGGGCAGAGATCTTCTGCTTGGCACTAGCTGGAAATTTATTGAAAGAACACAAACATTTTTGTCTTCTTTCTTCCTTATTAATACCAGATGTTCTTTAAATTTTGGGTAATTCATTCTAATACATCTATACGTCTAAATTTATGCCTTTATCTACTCCTATTTGCAGAAATGAATGCATTCACAAGGAAAAACAACTCGAAACAACACAAAATTCATTTATAACAAAGGACTAGCTCAAAAACTTGCTACTACAGTCTGTAAAACAAAACAAAAAAACTTAATTTTTCGGTGTATTTCTATGTGTATATGTACACTTAGAGTTAACACAGTGACATAATTACTACCAAACAATGGGGGGGGGGGGAATGAGACTGTTTCACACAAAGCCCAGGATGATTTTTAATTCATTACGTAGCTTGGGCTTGCCTTAAACGCCTTATTCTTCTGCATCTGAGATTATGGTTGTATATCACTATACTCAACCCCAGTCTATCAATATGATTTTTTTTTACTTACTTATACGTAAAGAAAATGTGCATGACATAATTTGCCACCAGAAAGACATTGGACTAGAAAGCTTCAACTCCACATCTAAAACAAACATGTCTCTATGTCTACATTTTGAAAAAGGGTTTTATCTATCAGATAACTAGAAAGCTTTAGGTTTACAGAGGATGTGCTATAAAAAATAATCCGGTAGAAAGCAGAGGAACTCCCAGGAGCTGTTTTAGTACAGGAGAAATGGAGGAAGTAAATTAAACACATCTTTTCAAGAGCTAAGTCAGCTGTTTTTATTATTAGTGCCTGAAACACACTGCAACTGCATTGTTTTCTGTGCCTCTTTCATTTTTCAACCACTCTTTTGACTCTCCATATAATTAGTCATTTAGCAAATAAAATAGATTAGTACAATCTTGCTATCAAGACATTCTTAAGGAATAGGCAAAATAGATTTCATTCCGTTTTACTAGGAACTACTAACCACCAACCTCAAACTTTAGCTATAACAACCAACAGTTTCCATAGAATAAAACTGCATTCACACACACACACACACACACACACACACATATAACCTTATTTAACTTTATTTCATGTGCATTGGTATAACGATGTCAGATTCTCTGGAACTGGAGTTACAGACACTGCAAACTGCCATATGGATGGTGGGAATTGAACCCAGGTCCTCTGGAAGAGCAGTTAGTGCTCTTAACTACTGAGCCATCTTGCCAGTCCCATTCTTTATATTTTATAAAAAGCTTTCCATAATAATTTTGGTTTGTTTTGGAAGTATATATAAATTATGTTAGTCTTGAGCTCATAGTCCTGAGTTTCCTGAGTACCTCTGTATTCCAGCAGATCCCAAGTTTTGTTGACAAAAAATAACTGGTACAAGTGACTCCTTGTCAACTCGACACACAAACATATCACTATTAAATCATAACTTTTGTTTCCAAATCTCACATTATATTAGTATCACAACATAAAATATAAATAACTTTAAATGTCCCACAGTCTTAAACAATTCCAATTAAGGGGGCTGAAGAGATGGCTTAGTGGTTAAGAGTACCTGGCTGTTCCTCCAGAGGATGCCAGTTAGAGTCCAAGCACCCACATACTAACTTACAACTGCCTATAAGTTCAGTCCAAGGGGGTGAGACACCCTCCTCTAGCTTCTGCAAGCACCAGGCACACAAGAGGTGCACAATCATGCATGGACTCATACACATAAATTAAGTGAACCACAACACGAGGGTGTCAGCATCAGATCCTTCTCATGACTGGGATCTTCAGAGACATTAAATACCATAGGTGACATGATGTCCAGACACACAACACTGTGTCAGGCAGGCCTGGTGTTTACCCACAAATTAAACATTAGAAATACCTAAATACTTTCTCACAGTCTCAGCTAAAAAAAAATTAAAATAGGACAATATGGATGAATTACAGGAAGGAAACTCAGGAAGGAAGAGAGAGAGGAAAGAAAAGGAAGATAAGAATGAAGGAGGATAGACAGAAGGGTGGACTAGTGAATTTTCTCTTCCTCAATGAGTCATTGTACCCTGGAGATAAGTACAGAACAAAACTCATAAAAGCTTTCAAAAGTGGAGT